ATATTAGAATTCTTTTTCAGAAACTACAAAAGACATGCCAAGCCTATGTACAAAGCCAGAAGAGCCTCCACGTTGGCTGTGCTGTCTGTGAACTGAGAAGAAGGGGCCTGCCGAAATGGTATTTGCTGCCTCTCCGAAAGCAGCCATATAATCTCTTATGTATATTTAATATGTATAGTTTATAAAGAATTTTAAATGTTCCTGTTAGGAAACAATTCAAAAATCGTTTGAACAAATTAAGGACCCCACCCCCAAATTCATCAAAGTTTCATAAAACCACCCTTCACCAAAAAAGCAGGCCACCAAACAAAAAACTGCTTTTCCTAAACAGGTTGAAGTGGTTGCTGGCCAAAAATTTCTTACTGCAATCATACCTTTTATACCTATTCTCTAAGGTTATCAAAGAATCTCATACCAAAATACCAAACTTTTCTTAATTGTCTGAAATTCTTTTGAAAAAAAATTTAAGACATTTTTAACACTGATGGACAAAACTACAATAGCATAATTAGTTCAGATGTTAACAGATATTTTCAAACTATTTGCACAACAGATGCACTATACTTCAACACAAACTGGCCAAACACAAGCTCTGCTATAAAACAGTGCCATGCTGGCACTGAGTGGGGTATTAAATATCTTATCATCTCTTCCCCATGTCACAGCAGCCATCTAGTTATTTGACCCGAACCCTTGGCATGATTCTGCAAATCAAATTCCAATAGTGTTCTTTTTATTTTATTATTATTATTATTATTATTATTATTTTAATCTCACCTGAGGACATGCTGACAGAGAGAGAGAGAGAGAGAGAGAGAGAGAGAGAGAGAGAGAAAGAGAGAGAGATTGATCAGTTGCCTCCTATATGTACCCCATGGGAACGGAATCGGGTGCACAGGACAACACTCAACCAACTGAGCCACTCCAGCCCTGCCATTAGAGTTTTTTTTAAAACCCACTATTTTTTTTAAAGGTTCAAACAGCCCTAACCGGTTTGGCTCAGTGGATAGAGCATCGGCCTGCGGACTCAAGCGTCCCAGGTTCGATTCCGGTCAAGGGCATGTACCTTGGTTGCAGGCAAATACCCAGTAGGGAGTGTGCAGGAGGCAACTGATTGATGTTTCTCTCTCATCGATGTTTCTAACTCTCTATTCCTCTCCCTTCCTCTCTGTAAAAAATCAATAAAATATATATTTTTTAAAATAAATAAAAATAAAAGGTTCAAACATACACAAGAGTAGAAATTAAGCATAATGAACCCTCATAAGCTCATCAACCAGCTTCAACAACATTAACTCTGCCTAGTCCTGTTTCATCTATACCCAGTCCCACAATCCCTCTCACTCACATACACACACCATCCTCTGCCTGGCTAGTTACTTTTAAACGATATCCCAGACATCAATAGAATTTCATCCATCCTATATAATAAAAGGGTAATATGCAAATTGTCCCCTTGACTGGGAGTTCAACCATAGTTCAAACGGGGGGGGGGGGGCCAGCCCGCCAACCGCCCAGGGCCCCTCCCTCCTCCCGGCCCCGATCGGCCCCCCACCCTGATTGGGGGACAGGGCCAACCTCGGAGTCCCCTTCCTCTAGCTGGCCCGGCCCGATTGGCCTTGATGGGGCAGGCTGGCCAAATCCCACCAGTGCACGAATCCGTGCAGCGGACCTCTAGTAAACACATAAATATGTTTATCTCTTTATAAATTTTTCATTATGTCTCTTTAAAAGATAAATATTCTTTCCTTTAAAATATAGTTATAATACCATTACAGACAAAAAGTTAACAATTTCTTAAATCTCATGAGGACTTTACAGGTGGTTTGTTTGAATTAGGATTGGGTTGAAATGCCTCTTAAGTCTCTTTTAATCTATAACAGTTTCTGCTCCCTTTTCCTCTTGCCATTTATTTGTTGACATTGTTTTGTGAACTGGTGACTGGGAAAGGCATTTTCTCTCTTCCCACATGTGTGATTCTTCTGGAATACTGATGAGGGGACATACCTGCTTTTCTGTGGAGGGGACATACCTGCTTTTCTGTGGCAGTGGTGCACTTCCCAGTGAGCGGATTATTAAGAATTATGGTGTAGGTCATGGTTCTCAGTTGATTGCCTCCAGGTTCCACATTCCAAGGGGTAGATACTACATCTATTCACAGCAAGCATAAATGAGTTAGTTCTAGAAATCTGAAGGGTATGACTTGAAATGAATGAAAGAGGTAGTTTTTGAATTATTTAAATTTTATTTTTGACCAGTCCAAAAGTAAAAGTAATTGTTAGGCACTCTTCTTATATGTGACATGTAAGATCTATTTACTTCTATCAGGTGTGGGGAACCTTTTTCCTGCCAAGGGCCATTTGATATTTATAACATCATTTGGAGGCCAAACAAAATTGTCAACTTAAAAATTAGCCTGCTATGTTTGGTCAAACATTTAATTAACTCACCCCTAATGCCTTAGCAGGGCCAGACCATATGATTTCACGGGCCTTATATGGCCCACGGGCCAGAGGTTCCTCTGTAAGTGTTGTCTATTAATACATTTTTTTACTTTTCTTTCTAAGATAAAGTAAAAGTTGGTTCATCTGTAGGCTTCTTTTTAAAGTCCCCAGTTACTGCCCTTGCCAGTGTTGCTCAGTGGTTAAGTGTCATCCCATGCACCGAGAAGTCGCTGATTCCATTCCCGGTCAGGGCACATGCTCAGGTTTGTGGGCTCGATCCCCAGGAGGGGGTGTGCAGGGAGTGTGTTTCTCTTTCTCATCAATGTTTCTTTCTTTCTCTCTCTCTCTCTCTCTCTCTCTCTCTCTCTCTCTCTCTCTCTCATCAATAAAAAACATTTAAAAATAAATAACTCCCCCATAATCTACAAAAAGAAATGATAGCACCAGCCTTATCAAACAGAGACCAAAAAACACTCAGCGTTCCCATCATTTAAGACAAAGCCTTGTGTCCTTATACAACAATGTGGCCTGGATCCCAACTTGTGGAGAAATCATGTCAGTGAGAAGTCATATAATGTTAATGGCTTAGCTGCTGAAATCTTTAAATAAGGAGGGGGTGAAGGAATACAAATAACTATGTAGCCTATGTAGCACACGCTGCAGGATAATCTCTCTGTATTTATAGCAAGACCTTCGTCAAAATTCTCTTTTATTTGCTTAGCAACAACACAGTGAGTAGAAACACACTTTGAACCGAATGTATCTTTAGAATATAGCACTATACAGCAAGGTCATCTTACAAGCCAAAGACTAGTAAGAGGTAACAGCATCAGGAACTATTCAAAGATCTGACTCAATCATCTAATGCTGTTAGCACAAATGGACTTGGGCAATTCGTCGTCTGGCTGCTATTCATCCGCATCCTAAGATATAAGAGCCTTTAGTTAACCCATTACCTATCATCAGAGGAATGAAGCCAGGCATTATGATCTACCCAATTTTACTCTATTTCTTTCATACAGCTAGGTCTAGGGATTTAAAGAGGGACCCTGAAGCTGCCTTCTGAGTATACGGAAGAATCTTACAACTGAATTAAAAAAGCAACATCACAAACCATGGAATATATCATCCAGAATTTGCTATACAAATTATTTCTTTACATGAAAGCTGTAAAATTCTAAAATGCTATTCCAAGGTTACTTTGGTCATATGCCAGCCTGTTTCAGAAAAATTATACAAATAATCCATTGTGAATCAGCAATAGAATTGAAAGATATTGTTGAATGCTGTTGTTAAAACTATTCAACAAAGCAGCCATCAACAAGGATAACAAAAAGTGCCTTCTACTTGTATTTTCACCAATGTTACCAACAAGCCTACTGAGTCTCATGTGCCATGACATCATCTAACTCACAACATCTTGGAAAAGTCAAGTTCCCCAGTACCTGAGTAAAGCTCAAGGTATAAAAATATGGGACGAAATTTTAAGAAAAATGGCAACAGCATACAAAAAAAAAGGCAAGAGAGCCATTTTAATTTATTGAGTTGAAATAATAAAAATCAGGAATTTCAGAACAAATACTTTAAGAATCCTTTGATTAATAAGGTTTAAAATTGGTGAATCTTCACACCTATTAGGATGGCTATTATCACACAAAAAATGAAAATAACATTTTGGTGAGGATGTAGAGAAACTGCAATCTTTATGCATTGCTGGTGGGAATGTAAAACGATGTCGCCACTATGAAAAACAGTCAAAAAATTAAACAAAGAATTACCTTATGATTCAGAAATTCCACTTTTAGGTATGTACCCAAAAGAATTGAAAGCATGGGCTCAAGCAGATATTTGTACATCAGTGTTCACAGCAGCATTATTCACAATAACCAAAAAGTGGAAACAGTCCTAGCCAGTGTGGTCACCAAGGGGTCATGGTTTGATTCCCAGTCAAGGGCACTTACTTGGGTTGTGGTTCACTCCCCGCCCCTATTCCCGACGCATGCAGGAGGCAACTAGTCAATGTGTCTCTCACATCTCTTCTCTCTCTCTCTCTCTCTCTCTCTCTTCCTCTCTCTCTCTCTCTTCCTCTCTCTCCCCCTCTCTTTCTCTCTCTCTCCCTCTCTTCCTCTTTCTCTCTCCCCCCTCCATTTCTCTCCCCGCTCTCTCCCTCCCTTGCATTCTCTCTGAAAAGCAATGAAAAAATATCCTCAAGTGAGGATTACACAAAGTGGAAACAGTTCAGAACTCCATCAATATATGAATGGATAAACTAAATGTGGTATATACATACAATGGAATATTATTCAGCCTTTAAAAGGAATGAAGTTATGACACATGATAAAACGTGGATAAACCTTTAATACATTATGGTAAGTGAAATAAGCAAGTTACAAAGAGACAAATATAGTATGATTCCATTTATAGGCAGTACCTAGCTCATCAAATTAAAAGAGAAAGCAGAATAGTGATCATCAGGAGTTGGGAGGAGGGGGTAATGGATAATTATTGTTTAATGGGTACAGAGTTTCAGTTTGGGAAAATGAAAAAAGTTCTGGAGCTGGGTGGTGGTGATGGCTGCACAACAATATTAATGTATTTAATACCACTAAATTGTATACTTTAAAATGGTATCTTCATACCTTTATCACAATAAAAAAAAATTGGTGAAGCTAGGTGATAGGTATGCGTATTTTATTAGACTATTCATGAAATTTTTCTGAAGATTTACATCTGTTCAAAGTTAAAAAGTTGAATAAAAGGACAAAACTAAGCTTTGAAATACAGAAGTAGTCATATAACTATAAACAAAGGCTTAAAAGAAAACCAATTTAAAAGCTCCCTAATTAAAAAAATTATAATTAGATCCAGTTGTAGCCATTTTAGTGCTGATTAGATTAAATCTACAAATTGACTATGAAAACATTTTCATTATATTCAAAATATTTTAAAACATATATTTCTATTGATTTTGGAGAGGGGAAGGGAGACGGAGGGGGAGAGAGAGAAACATCAATCGGTTGCCTCCCACATGCCCCCCAACCAGGCATCAAACCCACAACCTGGGCATGTGCCCTGACTGGGATTCAAACAGGCAGACCTTTTGGTGCACAGAACAGTGTTCCAACCCACAGAGCCACACCAGCCAGGGCCACAATACTTTTCAAAAGAAGCCTTTGAAATCCATTATCAAGAAATATAACTGATTACCGGGTAACAAGTTCAGAAGACATCATAATGATGTGCAATCATAAACACATTCTCTCTTTTGGAGAAAACCTTCCGAGTAATTCTAGGTCTAAATAACCATATGCCTATAACAGTTCAGATTTAGAACTAGCCAGAAGCCTTTGCTTCCCAAAGCCACTTACAACACCAGATAGCACATATATTCATCCACACTGAAGCCAGAAGTGATGAAGAACACTAAACACAATTGTGATTCAAAATGCGGTATCAACAGGCTTCATCTTAAAAAATTAAGAGAAATAATGTATCCAACTCTTCTGAAATGTCAAGTTCAACAGGCAAATATGAATAGCAAGAAAATACAAAATAGGTTCCAAAGATATAATAGATTTTTTTAAACTATGAAATTCTTTATATAATCACAAGACTCTAGTAACAGTTAGAAAGTGCTTTGCTACTCTACTATGAATAATAAACAATTATTTTTTGTGCCTAGAACTGGTGGATATTTGGGCTTTTTTGAGTTTGGGGGCATTATAAATAATGCTACTATGAATAATAGTACATGTCATTCATGGTACACATGTACCCATTTCTGAAAAATATATGCCTAGTAGTAGAATTGCTGAGTCAGAGAGAAGGTATAGGATCAGCTCTAGTAGATTCTGCTAAACCATATTGCAAAGTGATTGTACCAATTTACACTCTACTAGCATCCAGCTGTTCCACAATCACCCCTTTAAAATGGGTTCAACTCAACTGAACTGCTACATTAATAAATAAATAGAGTTTTAGTTTTCAAAGGGTCTGAATGGAATCCTAGGTAGGATCTGACTAATTGGACAACTATTGTTTATATGTGAATTTAATCAAAACACTTAAACACTAGTTTATATATCACAATAGTAATGTGAGAACCTAATTTCACTTTATATAGGCTCAACCTTCTAGAGAGAATAAAATATTTCCAAATTTGTCAGATAAGAACACAAAAACCAACCTATTATATTTCTAGAATTGGTAAATCTCTGCATAAATCGTGAACTGGTGAAGAGCAATTCAAACATTTTATCAGCATTGATGTGAAAAACGCGGTTGATATAAAGTCTTCCACGAAGATCTTTCTCAGGAATATTTTCTGTGGGGGGGAAAAAAACAGAACCATAAGAGAAGAAACCAAGGAAAGGTAATTTTAAGGTTTGGTTTTGTTTGCTTATTTGTGGTACAAAATAGTTTTTAAATGTGATTACAGTGATCAGCACATTCAGGGCACTATTAAAAACTCTAAATTGGTGTACATACGTATGCATGATGTATAACTATACATAAGAGTATATAGTTAATTAAACTATAATGATCAATATTTCAATTGTCAATACCCAAAAGATAGAGAAATATTTAACTTTGAATGATATCAAACTCCCATAATGTATCCTTCAAAAGAATATTTCAAAGGTTTCAAGGGCAAAACTGAGATGCGTGGAGCAGTATATACCACCACACTTAGCAGGCCGCATTTCTGAGCGCTCATGCAGTCAGCAAACATATAAAGTGTGAATGGCTCTAGTACCTGCTGCACTAATTCACTCACTAACGACTCACTCACAGAGCTGACTCCCCCAAGTCAGGTAACACTGTATTCACATCCTATTCTTAATGCCACACATTAAAAGAAGAAATCCTTCTGAAAAGTATGCTTCAAAGCTAAATAATGTCCAATGAAATATTACATTTTTTTCTGGGAACCTAATAATGATAATGAGGTTGAAAACTGGCCACAATTAAAGAAGCAGTATCTGCTCACCTCTCCTCATAGTCCTAGGGAACATTGTATAAAATAGCCCATGCTACTGTGGCACTTACTATATGCCATACATGGTGCTAAGCACCTTACAAATATTCACTCATCCTCACAGCAATCGTGCGAGATAAGCGGTGTCATCGTTTCCATGGCACAGATGAGCAAACTGAGGCACGGAGCGATCGCCAAAGCTCCACAGTTAGGGAGTGGCTGAATTGGAACTGGAAATCACTACAGCTCCAAAACACACAAACTTAACCTCTATTTATACTTCCAGGAGTTTAACTTAGAATAATCAGAAAGAAAAGACAGCTAGGCATAGGAGCCTGGTAAAGTAAGGGAAATAGAGTCAAGCAATCCAATATGTAATTTTAACGATTTCAGGACTGGGGTTATTTATTATTTCAAGGATTATGCCCCCTCAATACAAAATGGAAACTGTGCCCAAAACTCCCTGTATTTCAGAAATCAAGTTCTAAGAATTGTCTGTGTAGAGCATCCGCCAGTATTACACCACAGGAAGCAGTTTGGGAAAGTAAAAGACTGGTCTAAAAATCAGAAAACCTTTTCTAGCTCTGTCTTCATCCCAACTATTGCTTTTTCTCCATCATTAAATGATTTGTGTCTCCCTACTTTGCTATAGATGCACAGAACTTAGAGATATCAAGTAAATATTGACTTAGTCTTGTAGGCAAAAGCTCTCCACTGCAATTTCAAATAATGGCTCCTTCTGCATAGAAATGAATCACTGAAACTAGGCAACTTGCTAAGATTTTGTGAGGCAGCTTCCCAATTAGGCTTGATAAATAGCCCTTCTGACATTGAAGTAATATATGTTCATTGTAAAAATAATTCAGATATTCACAAAGAATACAAGTAAGTACAGGTGATTCTCTTGATCCAGCTCATTTCTTCACAGAACTTATCCCAACTTGTAATTATATTTTTGTTGGCTTATTGACTTGCCTATTGTCTCTCTCCTGCATTGAACTCTAAGTTCCATGTGAGTAGGGACCATGTTGACTTTAAACACCAATGTACATTATGTGCTTGACATAATGCTTGACAATGAGTATGAAATAACTACTTTTGATTGAACAAATTTAGAATTTGTGATATCACTAAAGAAAATTAATAATACCTCTGGTATGTAAATTTGTTTAGTGGCTATTGAAAACACTAAAAATATCTTAGGATTTATTTTTATTTATAGAACTCTGAATTTGCAACCATACTTTTAATCATCTTATTTTTAAGTAATTATAGATGTACAATTAACTAAACTAGGCTTTAATACTCTCCCCCCCACCCCCAGTCAATAATGTCCTTTTCTGAACTAGGATCCAATCCAAAATACCATGTTGCATTTACTTGTTATATCTCATTAATCTCCTCCAATCTATGACAGTCCCTCCTCCTGCCTTTTTTTTTTATGGCCTTAACACATTTGAAGAGCACTGGTGAGATGTTTTATAGCATGTCACTCACTCTGGGCTCATGAGGGTTCCTCATGATTAGACCAGGGCTGTGGATTTGGGGAAAGAACACCACAAAGGTGAAGTGCCCTCCACATCAAACTGAGGAGGTGGGGGAAGACATGTCAACATGATTTGTGATGATGCTAACCTTGATCGCTTGTTTAAGGTTGTGTCTGGCAGGTTTCTCCATTGCAGAGCTACCATATTTCCCCTCCAACAGTCGATTTGTTAGGAATGAGTCACTACGTTCAGCCCACACTCAAGGAGAGAATTACCCTCCACCTCCTGGAAGGGGAGTATCTACATACATTATTTGGAACTCTGTGCGGGAGATTTGTGTTTTCTCCTCCATTATGTATTTATTCAATCATTTATATTGGTGTGAACTTACTCTATTCTCTAGTCCATGAGAATTATTTATTTTGTTGCTCCAACTTTTTTATGTGGCCATCAGGAGCTCTTTCACGTGGACTCCTGTGTCCCTTGGTCGTGCCTCCCTTTTATTTTAGGTACTTTATTTTCTGGCACTACGAGACACTCCAGGCTCATTATATATACTCCCCATCCCAGCCCTAGAAGCAGCCATTTCTCTGAGGAGCCCTGGAGCTATAATTTTTCACAAGTAAAGTTCTTGTTCACATTTAAGAAGGAAACAAATCCCTCTCATATAGGCATTTCAATATAATATTTTCGTATTTCATTTAAGCTCCCTTATGAGATAAATTGCTCTGTATCATAAATGATAAAAACAGAATCTGTTGTATCACTAAAGGAAATTAACAATAATACCTCTGGTATGTAAATTTGTATGAAGAAGTAAGTACATGAAATCAACTATTTCCACCTGGGGTTATCCTATATAATAAAACCCTAATATGCAAATTGATTGAACAGCAGGAACTACCGGTTGCTATGATGCACACTGACCACCAGGGGGAAGATGTTCAACGCAGGAGCTGCCCCCTGGTGGTCAGTGCGCTCCCACAGAGGGAGCGCCGCTAAGCCAGAAGCTGGGCTCACAGTTGGTGAGTGCAGCGGCAGTGGCAGGAGCCTCTCCTGCCTCCATTGCAGGTGGGTGGTAAGGAGTGAGGGGTCCCAGACTGCAAGAGGGCACAGGCCGGGCTGAGGGACGCCCCGTGCACAAAATTTCATGCACTAGGCCTCTAGTTTATGTATGAAATTCATGGTATTTTAGAGCCTCCTATCCAAGTAACATCACCATTAGCATTGCTGTGACCTCCTGAGCTGGCAGCTGCTATTTAAATGGGGAAAGGAGCACTGCTCAACGTCGCAGCAGGTCACCATTTCCAATGAAGAAGAGCTATCACTTCAACATACCAGTTTGAAAGTGGCCAGTGGAAATGGTGGGGAAAGTGGAACAGATAGATCGGAAAAGGACATGGACATGAATAAAACTGGAACATGCTGACAGTGTGTTGAAGGAGCATGAAAGTAGGCATGCAAGAAAAGCAAGTGACTCGGAGCTTCACTGAGGGACTGAGGACACAGTTTGTTATATCTTCTTTCATTTTCTAAAAACTGGTGACCTGCGTCTTCTTGACTCAGTTTGAGGGCTTTCTTTACACCTGAAAAGCCACGTTTAATTTGATAGTGTTGTTCAAAAACCTAACTCTGGTAACGGTGTCAGGGTTACCCCGTTAAGCTGCTTGCCTGACATGCTAGACTATGTCATGGCTTTTTCTTTGGCTTTCCCCAGAGGTATACTTGTCCTCACCTTTATTAATTAATAAGCATCACTCGATATTCTGATTCCTGTTTCTCTTTGCATGGCTTTGCCTCTAACTCATCTTGTTCTGTCAGCTGTAGACCATGGATTCCAATTTTGCTATTTTTATGCGCTCCTCCCCCCACTTAATCTTTGCCTTAGTTTCCATTCTCGGCATAAGTCACTTTGGTTAGGGAAGCCTCCGCTATACAAAACTAAATTTAACTTCTATCACATGACACAGCGCAGGTGTCTCAGGCCATGAGCTAGTTTGTCTGCTCCCACTCAAGGCTCCACCTCCTGGGCAGATGCTTCACAGACTACCCCTGGCATGACAGAGCAGGGCATGTGGAAGAAGCAAATCCTGAAAGCAACAGAAATATTAGAACCTTGAAAACACAGCCATAATCTCCTAGTACTTGTGGATGTGGATACATTACATGGTGTCCACTCACTTTCATTTGCCAGGAAACTCCCAGCAGCTTCTCAGATGGTTTGAACTCCTCCCCAAAAGTGGGCAAATAGTGAGCTAGGAAAGTCTATCAGCAACAACCCTCTAAAGAAACAAAGTTCTGTAGCTTTGTCTGCGAATTATTATATATCTAAGTTTTAATGTACTGATATGGTTTAACAGATTAAAACACAATGCCTAGCTAGCCTTTTGTTCAGCAGCTGAAAGCCCCGAACCGGCTTCCGGATGTACAGGAATATCCCCAAAAAGGGAACCTTCACTCTTGGTGGGGTCTAAATTTCCTAGTGCAGAGTAAGAGCTTTGAAAGAGAAGCCAGTCGCAGCAGATTCCAGGCTCTCCCTAGCGGGGCTCCAGTGAACTCACAGCAAGGGGACTGTGCTGGAAGTATTTCAGGCCCCTCGGAAGGTGGTTTATGATGCTCTGCTTTGTTGATTCCTCTTAAGTTTACATGGGCCTAGAAGGAACCTCTATATTAAAACAGTCCAGTGCCTCCTTCCCAAGGAGTATAGGATATATGTGGTAGAAAAGAAATCCTCTCATTTTCTCACTCAACCTGCTCAGAATAGATTTTTTTAAAAAAACTATCATTTTAAATAAAGTGAGGCTTGATTTAATCTGCCATCTCCCTAGCTCCCTCTAAATCCCCACACGTATTTCCAAATTTCCTGGGATGGTTTACTCCTTTTGACCTTTCCCATCGTCTCCCCAGTTCATGGACTCCAAGAGTCTTCATAACTTCACAACTTTCAGAAACAAACAAAGAAAAAAAAATAGATTCATTCTAAAACCCACATAATACATTTGATAAGCCCAAGATTTTGGAACCTGCTTAGGGAAAGCAATAGCAGTACTTGATTTGCTGGCAAATGATAATCTAATTAAAAAGTTATCCCATACACGTTAAAGAAAACCTGCACAAACAGAGGCCGAATGTTGCATGGAAGGCCTTGCTGCAGAGAAGCCCAATGGTATCTTTAAATGGGTGCCAGCAAGTTGCAAAATGTGATCAGGGCTCACATGCAATACAGCAACCATGCCACTGTTATTCTTTCTTTATTTCTAAATATGAACGCAGTGTATATGAGTTGTAGTGGTATCCTTTATGTAACTTATCATTAATCTTAATTTTATAGGAGCTCAGTAAGGAAACGACTTTTGAAGCACTGTTGTTACAAAGAGCACGTGAAAAGGAAAAAGAATCCTTGTTTTGGTGTCACTTACCCATCTGGCCACTGGGTGCCAGAGTAGATCTTCCTAAAGTCAGAGGTTCAGCCAGGCAGGGGATAACTAATTCACACCCGCTGTCTACCAAAGCATGAAAGGTAAGAACACCAGGCATCCCATCATTTAGGGGCTGGATGTCTTTAAAATACTTCCTCTCAACTATCTTTTCAAAAAGAACTCAACAACTGTCTTCTTAGCACAGCCTGCACTTTCTAGGAAACAGTGGATTTTTACCTATGTTTTTAAGAGCAGTATCTTTTATTAAAGATACTTCAGGGTTCCCAAACCAAGGTCTAACCTGATTTGGATTGGGTTTTCATGGACTTGGCCTTGGTTTGGTTGAATTTAGATTTGACTTTAGATTTGGATTTAATTTGGATTGGATTTAGATTTGACTGGGATTTAGTGTGGATTTTCATGGATTTGGTTTTCATGATAGTAAAAGATTTCAGGGGTTCTCAAACCAGGTCTCACCTAAACAGCAACTAGACTAGCACATTCGTATGTCCTACAGATCCAAACCACGGCAATGTCCCAGGTACTATTCTGAGCACTGCTAGTAGGAAAGCGGGTCTGGAGAAACCCAGGCATTGTTCCTGTTCCTCAACTTGAAAGCAATCACTACCCAGAACCTTCCCCAATGCTTTCCTACTCCACTGGCTTCAATGTCAATAATCTTACAGTTGTTTTTTAAATCCTTAAAATGCCCACTTAATAAGTATGACAAGCCCAAGTTATTGATACTAACTTAGAGAAAGCAGAGAGGACATGATTTGTTATCGTTCCTTTAAGCAACTGCTTTTTATATTTATTCTCTACTTCCACCTCCCTCTCCCTCTCCCTCTCCCCCCCCCCTCATTTTTGGTGGTTAAAAGAAAGTATAATTATAATGTAACAGATTTTTATTGAGATTTACTTTCTACTGCTACTCCATCTCCATTGACTGAAGGCTTGGGATTTTAAAAAGCTAAATGTGATGGAGATTTTCAACTTCGGCTTCTGGAAAGTGAAGATGAGTTAGGTTTAGCAGCCTCTTCACCCTATATTCTGTTAACTTCCTTCCTTTTTTGGTTCTTTGTAGAGTGAGACTGTACCTAATGCAACTAAATTCTCAATCTGCACACACCTAATACAAAGATTAACATTAAAAGATATAATTGAAATGATATTAAAATTTATAAGAAATTCTTTACCTTCATCAACAGAATCTGAAGTGCTGCTTTTGTCCAGAGAAAGATACTCATTTTTATTCAAGTCCAGTGATTTTGATGGTACTCTGCTTAACCTCTTTTCTGAAGTTAGTGAAGGACTCTTTTTCATCTGTTTCTCACTTTGAGCTTCCTCTTTCCCTAACTCCTAAAAGGCAAACAATCCAGTTTAAAAATATATATATATTATAGGCTTAGATTTCACAGAGAAGTCTTTAATAATAAGGACACTTTGAAAAATGTGTTTGTTATGTTTGCATCATATTTCCAATTCAGTCTAAAAAACACTGGCAAATAATATATATCATTGTAAAGTCACCTTCTTAAGCAGTAACAAACAATAAATTTATGAAGAACATCATATAAATAACTCGCACAGAGGTAACATCATGTGAATCACTTATGCAAAAGGGAAAGGGGGCAGAGGACAAAATAATGGAACATTCGGTTCTATGGGGTGGACAAGGGAGAGGGGTAAAACCCAGTTCGTGTCCCCAGGCAATACCTGCCCCATCATCTCAAAGAAGAAAACTCACCCATCTCTCAAGACCAGTAACTAAAGGGGAAAGAGAAAGAAAATAGAGAGATAAAAGTCACATAAGAGTACAATAGGTGAGAGAGGCTTAAAAGGGAAGATTAATTTCACTGCAAACTCATAACACAGTTGTCTTTGCTGTTAAGGGACTAAGGGATTGGGCATTAAAATATATCCAATATATGATGCTATCTATATTTTCAGGAGGTAGTTTAATAAAGATATATCATTTCTATAAAAATTAAATATTAGGCACTAAAGTATGAATGCTATTGCTATATTGGTATTCAAGTAGAATAATGTTATAATTAGGCTTAATAAAACAGTGTAAAAAAAATAAAGTATACAGCAAAGTACTTCCTTGCATTGTCTGTGTGTAAGCAGATGATAGAAAGCAAATCACACAGATACAATCCTTACACTTCATGCCCATGAGACACAGGCTCCATTGGCCACTCAGAAAGCAGAATAACTACGGCGACTCAGGACACAATTTAATAAAGGATTAGCCTATCCTAGTCAGAGGACTGATTCTTTAAGCAGAGGCTACTGCTAGAATCAAGACTTAGTTTATTCGGGAGTCCCACACTGCAAAACAATACGCTTATTTAGCTAACCCAGAGTGTCTGTAACAGATGCTAGGTAGAGTAAGTTTCCACACATATTTCTTCTGTTGTCACTAATTAAGATACAGCTCCTATTATAAATAATATAAATAGATATTTGTAGGAAAAGTAATAGTCACTATTTTTGAGAAGTTGGCATCTGGACAATTTATTTCTTTATACACTTTTCTAATTTCCTGAATTTTTATAGAGTATTAATTTTATAACTTGGAAAAATGTTATTTCTGACTTTTTGTTACTTCTAATTTTGTTGGCAGTAAAAATGAAATAAAGTGACATGATATTTGTTGAAATCTGAGAATCTCACAATACTGCTCTTGAATGCAAAAGGTAAAAAAGCACTGAGCTTCTATATTACTTGTATTCCATAACCTGAAAACATCTAAATAACATCAATGAATGTATGATCAACCTTAAAACATTAAATTATTTCTCTGCATTCCATTCCCTTTCACTAGAGAAAATATGACTTCCTTTAGGGATAAAACTAGAAGAACCAAGGGGTTAACTCTTCCAAGAGCAGCTACAGCTTATAAAGGGGGCAGTAGGAAAGACTCAAGTAAGATTGGTAGTTCTGAGAACCCAGTCCTCAAAGTCAGACTTTTGTAAAAGGATGAGGAGACTCCAAGAGATCCCCTGTCCTGTTACCTCCCGAAAATTGAGTGGTTTGGTCTTCTCAGTGAAAACACAGAGAAAGCAGCATCCAGAAGCCCTTGCTTATACCAGTAGGAAGTTTCTCAGGGACTCCAGGTGGGTCAGTTTTGCAAGAAACCCTCAACACAAAATCAGACCAAGAGAGATGCATGACAGGTGCCTGAAACTAGCTGATGCCTTGGTGGGCTTTCACATAAGTACAGTCTGTTTCAATGTTTTCCTAACATTTATTCACAGGAGACGCTGGGAGCTCCATGGGAGAAGGTAGAAAAGGTCCATTGCTGGCCACACACAGATTCACCTTCAATTATCCCACCTTATGGTTACTGAACACTTAATGTGTGCCAGGGACTGCTCAAAGCACTTTCCCATATAGTAACTCATTCAATCCTTATAAATAGCCCCATGGGATGTCACTGTCCTCATCATCAAGAAGTTGAGAAAACAAAAGCAGAGGAAGGTTAAGTAATTAAGTTAACTTATTTAAAGTCATACAGCAAACGGCAGAGGTAGGATTTGCAGCCAATGCTCTGGTCCAAACCAAGCAATTCCGCTTTAGGCCCGAACTTGCAGTTCCAATCAGAATAAAAGCTCTAGGGTAGGCACAATCTTAGCACTCAGAATGTGGTCTCTCAACACCATTCTTCACTAAGAGCTATATAGCTCATTAGGAAAATGGCTAATATTAAGTCTGAGACCGAAATTATACAAAATGTGCCTGGGACATGTTCTTGTACCAGAAAGAAAGGAAGCCATCAGAAATCATCCATCATTTAAAAAGGACAAAGGAGCCAATCTGAAGGGACTCAGAAGGGACAAACTGAGTATTGAAAGTAATAATGACTCCAAGTGATAGAAGCTCATGGAAAAATCAATGGGCTTATAACGATGCTTGAAAAAAATTAAGGGAGGAACTAACTAACTCGAAAGCCAGTGGTTAGCTGGATGTGCCTGCTTTAGCAGTCAACTTAAGAAGCGTCTCCTGTTATGCAAGCATGCTGCTCAGGGCTCTCATCCCCCTTCAGAACAGACTACCACACACACTACCTACTCTGGGGAAAATTCTGCTATGACTTGCTCCGTCTTATTATATTTTTAAAGTATATTTCCATTGATTTCAGAGAGGAAAAGAGAGGGAGAGAGAGACAGAAACATCAATGATGACAGAGAATCATTGATTGGCTGCCTCCTACACACCCTCCATTGGAGATCAAGCCTGCAGTCTGGGCAAGTGCCCTGACCAGGAATCAAATAATGACCTCCTGGTGCATGGGTCAACACTCAACCACTGAGCTACACTGGCCTGGGCATCTTATTATATTTTTAGTGATGTCTACCCCCTCTTAGACTGGTGCTCTGTCTGATAGCTCTGCACCATATCCAGCTCTGAACAGAACCACGTATGTATACAACCTCTGCTACTTACTCACTTAACACTCCTAAAACAAAGGAGCAACCTGACATCTTAAGTTTTAAATATTTTGTATACTGTATTTTCATTTTACCTTATATCATGATTAACACATGGCAGCATCAAATATATTTTTAAAGGGGTATCACACACTAACCGCTTTTGATAGAGTTCCATCGATTGACTCTGTTTCTGAAGTCCGATTAATTGATTCAGGGATAAAACTGATTGACTTGGATAATTTTTCATCTCTCTCCCCACAGTCATCCAAGTTGCTTCTTTCAGGACTTCTGTAAGAAACACATACATCATTATGGAAATATACACAAGGTCACTGCCACACAGATATGTGATTTTGGCTCCTCTCTGAGGGCCTTTTCTATTATAAAGCACTTTGAAAAAAATGGTTTTTTGTAATGTAACAAATAAGCCTCTATTTATAACACAGCTATCTTCTTAAATCACATGCAAATTGGCTTTATATCTGAAAATAAGATAATGCTCACGTGAGATTTTATAAATTTCAGAAACCATTAAAAAATTAACCAAGTATAGGTGGCCGTAACAGCAATAAAATAATTATTGCTTGTTTGCATGTCAGTTGTGAACAACCACAAAGCTCCAAAAGGTACACGGTGGATGCCAGTCAGCACCAGAGGCAGTTTGATATCCTTCCTTCTGACTCAGTCCCTGAGATGGTGGATCCTCCCCAGCAGTGGAAGCTCCTTAGGTCTGAGCCCAGAGCCCATTAATCCATATCCCCTTCTTGCTCGTCTTATTCCTAAGAACAAGGTTTAAGGAGCAGCTTTCAAATGGTCACCGGGACAAGACTACACTAAATGTCCTGGGACCTGCTTTTCCTCTCTCAGGGAGCCAAGAGAAAGGGAAGTCTATTAAATACAAAAGGCACACAACGGATCTAATCTCCAGCACTCAACCTTCCTGAGAAATTATTACTCCCGTGTAATCATTGTATAGACTTAAAGCTCTTCTAAAATAAACAGCCTGACATGTGAAGCCATATTATCCTGAGGAAGGAACAGGAACGCCAAAGGGCCTTTAAACTCTATCCTCCTCCTTCCAAATAACACTGAGGTCTGCTACCAAGTCACCTTTGGCCCCGCAGAATGGCCGGGCTCTAAGGGAACTGAGCAAGAAAAAATGGCTCCTTGAGACTAGCCCACTACCTGAGTGTCTGAACTTCAGGATTTTAATGGAGTTGAGTTGTGAAATATAGAAAGAGAACAGAGAGTGAAGGAGAGGTTGAAAATGAAGAGAAAGGAGATGGAAAAGCTGAGGAAATAAACATCTGAGACAGATATGCTTCTTTCAGAGACTGGAAGAATGGGAAAAGGAGCAGAAAAGGGAATGAGGATCCTGCCACATCTTTCTTAGAAAGCACTCAATCACCAAGAAAACAGCAACTTTTCTGCTGACTTCAAGAACTTGCACCTTAGAGTATATATAGCAGCTGGTCAAAAATTATTTATTCTTTCTTTCTTCAAAGACCATAAATGTTTTGAGTTGTCAGGGACCTTGGAGATCATCTAGTTTAACTGCCCCACTTCACAGATGAAAAAACTGAGGATCAGAAAAGCTAAGTGATTTGCTTGAGGTTGCTCAGCTACTTGGTGGCAGAGTCCAGAGTAGGATCCAGATCTTCTTTACCACCATCTAAGGCTCTTTCCATTGTTATCAATTGCTTTTCTACCCAACTCCAGTAACTGAAAGAAGCTAATAAACTTGACAAGGAGAGCAGTACAATCGAAAAAAAAATTTTTTTTCGAATTAAAGAGTCACAATTATTGCAATCTGGGACTATGAGGGGCCATTCCCCAAATTTCATAGTAGTAAGATGGTTGCAAACACTTATATAGGCAAAGATCACAAAGGTATTGATTACATCCCAAGGTCTGAAATGAGGAAACTGATTTCCAAAAAGCAGTTTACAGAAGCAGAAGCAGCATGTTACCTAAATTACAGTTGGGTCTCTGAATCACTGAATTGACAGAAACACATTATCTAGAGCCCTCGGGTCTGGAATGAGGAACCTGGTCAGACTTAAGCATGTTATCTAAATTACAGTTTTTGGGTCTCTGGAACTCTGAGTCAACAGGGACACGTTAACTGGAGCCAAAAAAAAAAAATTAATATTACAGAAAAATAATAAAACATGCATGTGTAACCATGTAAAAAAGACTGTAAAATATTTATGCTTAACTGAAACCCTATAAATAGGATCAGCACAACTAGAACCCTAGATGGAGTGAAAATCAAGGCTTTGGAAAGATTTCCATTTTAAGATTTATTTGCTATAGAATTTTTAAAATAACATTTTTATTGTTGTAATTCACTTACCATAAAATGTACCATATTTAAAATCATACAATACAGTGGTTTACAGGGTTGTGCAGCCATCACCACTATCTAATTTTAGAGCATTTTCATCACCCCAAAAAGAAACCTTGTACCCATCAGAGTCACTCCCATTTTCCCTTCCTCCCAGCCCCTGGCAACTACAAATCTACTTTCTGTCTCTATGGATTTAATTATTCTAGGCTCAATTTCATATAAATGGAATCATACAGTATGGTCATTTGTGACTGTCTTCTTTCACTTAACATAATGTTTGCTTTAGAATTTTAATGTATTATACTCAGTTGTTTTTATTGCTATGACCTCAATTATCATTACACAAAATGCATTTTTACTTCTACAAGTTAATAAAAATGCCCACTCTTCCAAATGAATTCCCATCAGTCAAAATTAATCTCTCTCTACTCTGAATTTCTTTATCACATGATCTATTACTCCTCTTGGCCCTTATCATTTTCAACCTTGTGTTATAATTATTTGCATTCCCCACAGTACTGTAAGCTCCCTTACTTAATGCATTCTATATTTGTTGAGTGCCAACTACATCTCAAGCACTATGCTAGGTTATCCTCTTTTTTTTTTATGCTAGGTTATCCTTGAGGAAAAGTTGTGGTTATCTTTTTATCCCTCAAAATACCTACCAGTTAATTTACTTTCCTGTTACCTATAAGCACAGAGATTTCACTAAGTACTTCTCCAGATTCTTAATAAAAAAGTTTACTAAAATCATAGTTTAAGCAAATCCTAGGTGACACAGTTACAAAGACATATTTCCTTGTATGTTTTGTGTTTGCTTACCAATTCAGTAAACTATTCACTGTCCTCACCACTCATTCCATTCTACTAGAGAACGAAGGCAAATTTCACCCAGGGCGAGTAAACAGAAATTCTGAATTAGTAAAGTTTAAAATAATTCCGCTTTGATTAATGATTAAGAAATCTTGACATTTCAAAACATTGCTGTACCTTGGCTGCACATTATCCTCAATCGACACGGACAAGTTTTCCATCTCTTCAGCATTTAAGCCTAGCTCAGCTCCATAGTTCTGCTGGAGCAGCTGCCAGAATTCCTGTCTGGTCAAGCTCTAAAAGGACAGAAAAATTATACTACATATCGGAAAATGTAAGATTGTGTAATATAGTAATTCAAACATGAATTCTGAAGTCAAAATGACCTGATGTGCAGCTACTAGATATATGACTTTGATAGTTTTTGACCTTTATAGATGTCAGTTTTCTGTTTCTATAAAAAATATGGGTTAACAGAATTTATCTGGTAGAGGCGATACTGGGAATAAATAAAGTAACAATTTTAAAGTATGTAATACAATAACTACTGTAAATGGAAAGATGTTTGAAATTTTCTTTTTAGAAAACAATGTGTTCATGGTTTCTGGCAATTACTAACCTGCAGTTTAAATTCTGCAATCCAACCAGTCTACCATGACCCTGGATCACCATTCAGAGTTCTAATCATCGAACAGAACCCATCCTCTTAACCCATAATATATCCGAATATTTCAACCACTTTAAAAACCTTACATAGCAGTAGACTTTAAATTATATCTTCCTAAAACACAAAATGCAATAGGTTGAAATTAAGAATATTTTGTTTGATTTATTTATAATAAAGCCCAGCTCATTCTTTAACACATATCAGTGTTAAAATCATCTAATACAAAAAACTCACATTACACAGTAAAACAAAAACAATAACAGTATAATAACCAATGGTCTCATTTCTAGAAACATTACTGATGGTAATCACATGATTAAGCAAGGGAGAAGGAGGCAGCGTAATACTTGAAGCAACCATTGGCAAGATTCTTTCTCTCATCCATTCAATGGGTAATTACTTAGAAGTTATCAAATGTGTACCCCTGCACTAGATGCTAAGGAGGATAAAATGCTCTCAAACAATTTACAGTATAGTTGAAGAAACATAGAAGACTTATAAGTAAATTAAATATGACAAACTATCTATAATAATAAAAGTGTAATATGCTAATTAGACTGGACATCCTTCTGGACAAAGCCGGGCTGCGAGGGAAGCCTGGGTCCCAGGTGCCAGAGTGAAGCCGGTGCTGGCAGCCGGGGGAAGGAAGGCCTACTCTTGCACGAATTTTGCCCATCAGGCCTCTAGTAATGTTAATATGTACTTAACACTGTAGTAAATACTACATGGGTTAGGTGCTCAGACAAGAGAAGGGTCTTCAGCTGAGCTGAGAAAAGAACATGAAGAGAGAAAATGGAGAAATGAGAAAACTCTTGGCAAGGAAAACCAACATACAAATATATAACTAATACATGAAGAACCAAAGTAATATCAGTTAATAGTTTATCAGCCCAAGTGGAATAAAAATTTTAAGTTGGGAAAAGTAGGAATAAGTATATTTTTAATGGGGCCAAAACATACAGATGCCTTGAATTCCTCCCAGATATTCCCTATGACAAATACCACTTTCTTTTTTTTTTTCTTTCTCCTTGTTTCTTCTCTCTGTCTAGAAGCTATGGTATCTTTGTTTGTTACGTTACACTTGATAACCTTCATTACATTTCGTGGAACCTCAAAGAAATTAAGAACAAAATTTCTGCACTTTAGACCAATAGTTCCCAATTTGCCGTGCCTAGACTACTAGGATTCCACAAGAGTAGTTGATGAAAATTAGAAAATATTATCAATATTTCAGAAGTCAAAAATATCCAAACGGTTACCTACAATGAAATTATTCAAGCTAAGTAAAATGTCAGGCCTCTTTGTTTGGGGCTGAATTATATTAACCTAAAGTGGTTATGTCAGACATAATAAACTCTCATTGGAAATAATGTATGACTAATAAACAATAATGTTCTAACATTTTATTATTTAATATACACCATTTATTTGGTGAACAAAAAGTCTTTTGAAGTATAGTGTCCATAGAAAAAAATTAAAAGGATCACTGGTGGTAGAGAAAGTTAAGGAACCACTGTCCTTGATCTTAAAAGTACCCCACACATTTTTTTTTTTTACTTCCACTCCAGAAGAGCCATTTTTTACTTTTTTTTCGCAACAGCAGTTAGTTCATATTAAAAATTAGCCCACTCTCCTAAAGACATTATCTTTGAAATACTTGTAGTGTCATAAATAGATGGTTAACATTATAAAGAGAAACAAGCAATATTTCAATATAGTACTTGTGGAATATTAACCTCTTATAAAAACTCTTCTGAAATAATAGATATTAAATGACACCAAAAGAGATTAAAGCAAGTAGATAAACAAATGATAAATATTCAGCTTCCTAAGAGTGAAAGTAATAAAACTTATAAGTAAAATGTTAACAACAAAAATTCAATTTTATTTGACTACATAAATAAGTGATTTAAATATATTATCCAATACTATCAGGAAGTTAATAGCAGGGTAATTTGTAATTTCAATATATTTTTAATCTATTAATTTTAAAAATATATATATATAAAAGGTTAATGGAAAACAAAACAGAACTCACAACTCACCAGCTTATAGACTTGCTAATTTGTTAAAAATGACATTTTCTTCAAAGTTGACCAGAAGTCACAAAAATATGGTGATTGAAAGCCATGCTGGACATTCAAACATTCAAACATACTTTCTACCGAGATTCATGGTTATTTCATTAATCAGCAGCAGAATCAGGGTTGAGTAACCTTAAAACACAACCTCAATTTTAAACAAAGGCTGACCACCTACCTGCAAACAACGGAGAGTCTCCCGGTTCAGCTGCAGAGTAAGTACTTTAACAAAATAACATGAACCAAGCAGTAACCAGATAAGGCTCAAAAGTCAGGAGATCAATTTCTGGACCAGAAAGCTTTGTATTCTAAGTACGCTGCAAAGTCTTTCTCCCACAGCAGAGTTCCAAACATTTAATGACAACCATGTAAAATCACTGCCTCCATCTTCTAGCTTTGTTATGAGAAGCTTTTCCTTAAAAAGACAAGTTGTATTGTCGTTTAAAGCACATTATTTGTCACTTCCTGGTTTGTAGTATGAGCATTCTTTCCAAGTGGCAGGTCAGAATGCAGAATTGGAAGTTATACCTCACTCTACAGGTTCCTAAGCCACGCCTACTAGAAGAGATAGGTAAACAGTGTTTCATTAAAGGGGCAGATCCCTATTTCTTCAGATTAGGAACAATACAATGCAAATGAAGCTATCTTACTTATTACTCAATTATGTAAAATGCCTGTTGCAATGTTATTGTAATCTCATTTTAAAAATTAAATATATTAAGGGTTAACTTTTCTTCTCCATGCTAATGCCTTCCATTTAGTTCTGGCAATGTCATTACTTCATGTACCACGTCTTCAGTACTGATGTAGTGGCCCCATCAGACTCCTGCATTAACCCTTCACAATTATCAAAGATTGAGTCTCCTGAGTACCAGAAATGCAATGTCAGGAAATAGCAGGAAGAGTGAGCTATCAAATGGAGCAATTCTAATGAGCACACAGCACATCTTTCATCACTGAAAAGTTTACATCTTGATCACTCAACAATTCTTTCCTTTAAAAATATTCTTTACTTTATTCAAAATAATTTCCTGTCAAGGACCTAGACTATAATAAACACTATAGAGAGTCTCATCTAATAATTCCAATTTATTTCCCAGAAGAAAATTTTTCTTCTAAATGAAAAATCAAAGCTTGCCCTAATTTCTACCTAGTTGCTCCATTTAATTTAGTAAGGTGCATAGACATGACAAATGCTACCTGATGAACTGAAAAGATCTACTTTTTTATGGGGGAGGCGGGTGCTAAAACCTAATCATTTTATACAATAGCAGAATGACGGACCAGAGAGACAGTGGAGAATAGCACTCGCTCAAGCTAAAGAAAGCACACAGGGGCAGGGTCGTGGGACTAGCTTCCACTGTCTAAAACCCAGTGCTTGGGACAAACTACGGTAGTTCTCCTTGGCTGAAACTGTAGACAGATACCTTATTCTACTAGTACTATGGTAACCAATCAGCTATGAGAAAATGTATATTAACTATACTGTAAATGATCTGTATATATTTTTACTAAATATAAAAGTTCTTATAGTAAACCACTGGTATATAGAGCAGAATTAAATATAGAGTAACCGTAAGAGGGAAAATAGAGCCTAAGACTGAGCCTCAAGAAAGCCTGGCGTGCAAAGGCTGAGTAGAAGAGGAGTGGCCAGCAAAAAAAAAAAAAAAAAATGAAATACCATAAAGGGAGAGGAATTCCAGAAGGAATGTCTTGGAAATCAAGGAAAGAAGGTGTGCAAAATAGAGGGAATGTGCAATGGTGTGAGATGGTGAGATGCTACTGAAAGATAGAGGAAGATAAGCACATGACTAGCAATGCAGAGGAGTGGAGCAGCCTGGCAAGCCAGTTCACCATGACTAACACTGATGATGGGGAAAGAGGGGGAAAAATCAGAGAAGAGTCAGTGGGAAAGAGGGAAGCAGCCACCTCGTGAAGAGTCTCATATGCCATGCTAAAGAATATGGGGTTTACACTGTCAAAAAAGCCACTTACTCGTTTCACACAGAAAAGTAACAAGTTCAGAATTGTATTTTTAAAAGATACACTTTTTATAGGTATTTATCCAAAGAATATAAAAACACTAATTCAAAAAGATATACAGTATGTACCCCTGTATTCATTGAAGTAACCTAAGTGTCCAGGGACAGATGAATAGATACCAGAGGCCCGGTGCACGAAATTTGCCTCAGCCCGGCCTGCACCCTCTCCAATTCGGGACCCCTCGGAGGATGTCCAACTGCCTCTCGAATCCAGGACCGCTAGCTCCTAACCTAACCACTCACCTGCCTGCCTGCCTGCCTGATCACCCCAACCCCTCTGCCTGCCTGCCTGATTGCCCCTAACTGCTCCCCTGCTGGCCTGATTGCCCCTAACTGCCTCTGCCTCATCCCACACCTGGGACCCAGGTTCCCTCCTCCGGCCAGTCACAGGCACCCAGGACCTAGGCTTCCCTCCCTCTTGCCAGCCACAGGCACCCAGGACCTGGCCAGTTTTGCCCGGCCAGCCACAGCCACAGAGACTGCGGCTTCTCCACTCCTCCTGCTCC